GTGAAAACTCCCTTTTTTTTTTGGCTTCACAAGGGCTTTGTAGAGAAATGTAAGCAAACACTGCAAGTAAGTAGGAAAAATCAGCATTCCTCCAGGACAGAAATGTTTTGTGTCTCTGATGAATTAGAAGTGGGATGTTAAAAGATCATTCCTACCAACAAAATAAGGCTGCTGAACCTCATCACTACCTCCAACAGCTCTTCTGTTTTACCAGCTCTCCATACCTGGCTGCCAAGCACAAAGGAGAGCATCCAACCTACAAGTAACCAGGGGTTAAAAACTGCCACGGCTTGATGGAGCCTCCTGACTTCCAAAAACTGTCCCAAACTATTCATTTACACTTTCAGCGAGGTATTTGCAAGGTGATTTATAAAGATTTCACATCAGAGGGCCTTAAGAGAGCAAAGGGGAGTTCAGACTGATCCCCACATATCAAGAAAGATCCCAAAGCACCCATTTCAGACTAATATTACCTCTCACATAAAATCCTTGCTTGATGCAAGGGCACAGTCTAGACAAAGAGGAAAACATAAGCTTTCATTCTGCAACAGTTCCATTTCTGCTCTTGCTAAAATCTTTTGGAGCCCTTTGACAGACGTTTCGATGGGAAGAGTCACCCGGCCCTGCACTGCTGCTGAACTCTCCCAGGCTAAAAGATGACAGTGGTAGCAGCAAAAGAAGAAATTTTCTGACCCTAAAGAAAAATTCCCAAGCAGTTTGACACTGAAGCTCAACAGGAAGCGTTTTTCCTTGGCGAAATGGTTTTTACTGGCATGTTTCCACACCTCCTTTAGCACCACAGAAAACCAAGCAAGCAGCAGTGCCACGGGTGGAGGTGATGAACCAGTTTGGTGAACTGGTCTGGGAAAAGCCAGGATGGGCAGCCCTGGGTGTTTGGGTGCCAGAAACAGGAGCTGGGAGGGATCTATGCTCATCAGGCTCTATGCTGATCCTGACAAGAAGGGAGAAAAACACATTTTCAGCTGCCTCCAGCAGCAAGGGACGTGCCTGAGCCTGGGGGGGCTCTGCTCAGGCCCCATCAGCATGCTGTGTCAGGCACGCCTGTCAGACTTTCCCCATCTGAAAAAGGGGTTGGCCTGATGTAAAATGGGACTAGATTGGGAGCTGTGATATGAATTATTGATGCTCCTTCAGATGCTGTCTGCAGCTCAGCCCAGCAGGGCAGGCACCACCCTTCCACCCCCTCCCTGGTGCATCCCCAGCTCATCCCTGTCACTCCTGGGCACAGCAGCAACACGGGCAGCAAACAAGGGTAACACGCTGGCTACAGCTCTCCAGGGATGGGAAGGATATGGCAAAACCACCTCCTCCCTCCCCAGGGGAGGCACGAGCCCGTGCTCCAAAGCAATTAGGGACGCGCGGAGCTTTGATTCCCAGTTTTGATTTTGTGATGCTGAAGGCAAGTGCTTGGCAGCAGGAGGAGCAGGGAGATTCCAGGATCTAATTCAACACTTGCTAGTTAAACGTTGGATTGTAATCGTGTCCCCAGGCAGAGACAGAGATATACAAATTATTTTAGCAGGCTGGTTTCATCCTCCTGCTATCGGCTGCCCTAGCAGGCAAAGCACGGATTGTCATTCTGAATGTTTCATATAAATATATGTGATTCACAGGGAGGCATGGAGAGGGACCCAGCAAGAGAGAGACAGCTTTCAAATATGCAAAACAAAACAAAAAGCTCATTTGGCAGAGGTTTGGGTGCTCACTCCAGTGCCAGGCAGCACAGCAGAAGGGGCAGCCAGCTCGGAGAGCTCCTCCCTCCATTTGGCTCTTCCCATGCACACGCTGAATGTGATGCCTGGGGTGAGATGGAGACAGAAAGCACCAGCCCCCCCCTCAGCCCACGCAGCAGGCTGCCTGCCCTTGGCACGACTGACCAAAAAAAATCAGCTCCAGTTCTCTCTATCATCCATCCCCATCCTCCTCCTCAGGCTGCTCTGCTTCCGATTATCACCTGTAATGGATACAGCAGTTGTGGAATAAAGAAAAGCAATTTTCCCTTGTAATTATTTTGCCACGCTTCTGGTGAGACTAATTACAGCTCCCTGGCTTTGCTCAGAGCTCGGTGGAGCTGCAGCCACGTGCAGGGCTCTCACCTGCTGTGCCAGCAAGACCTCAGCAGAGGTACCAGGGGACCCAGGGGGGGCTGGTCCAGTAGGGGCTGACCCACCCCACTGCTGGTGCCTGTGCCCCCTCCACCCAGGGGAAATGCCAGCAGGCACTGAGCAAAGAAGGGATGTTATCTGCTGAACATTTGACTCTGGGCATCCAAGGAGGTGGCAAGACAGTGACAGCCAGAGGCCACCACTCCTTCGCTAGCTCTGAGCAAGGAGAAACATCCCACCAGTGCCTGAGACCTCCTTGATCCCACAACAGGGGAACCTTTTAAGGAGAGGGATCAGCATTGCACTAACAGATCCATCTCCTACAAATACACTCTGGACCACTCTCAATCACAGGGATAATTAATCTCCAGTTCCTTCTCAGACCCTTCCAACAGGTCTAACTCAGCTGCAGGGGACAGGACCGTGGAGCATCAGGAGATGGGTGCAGCCATGAGCCTGGAGAAGTGATGCCTCCTAATGAAGCCCCAGCACAGAGTACAATGTGTGTGTTCCTGCTTGTTACAAGCCACTGCACTAACAAGTGTCTCTCTGGCACCCAGGAGTCCAATGCATCCCAAAGATACAGATCTCTAATTAACAAAGTATTTCTGAGCAGTTCCACAGCTCCGGACTGGGATTTCTTCACTACGTGTTCCACCACCCCCACCATTGTGCTGCAGTCCCCAATTATCAGCAAGGATCCAGTGACAAAGCCAAAACACCCCTGACAACATCAAGAATCACCTCTCAGGAGATGAGAGGCCAGGTTTCCACATTCCAAGTGTGGGGTCACATCCTTCCCACGGATGGACCCTCGCAGCAGGTTGCAACACAGGACAGGGGTTGGCTCCAAATTGTCCCTTTCTGACCCCAAAGTTCTCTTGTGGGAGGGTCAGAGGACTTCCTCTCCAACAAGAAAGAGAGAAAATGAAACAAAAGAGCAAAGAAAAAGAAGAAATGGCTTAAGCAAGCTTCATCATTTGCATGGTGCAGCCTGTGGGCGTTCCAGGGTCACTGCTGCAGGGTGAAGGAGAGGAGGGGAAGGGAGACCCAGCCCCTCTCCTGCAGCAGCCCAGGCAAACCCCAGCCCACCAGCCCTCCCTGGGGCAGAGCCAGCAGCCAGCACCATGTGTCTGCACCCCCGGGGTCCCTGCTGGGCAGTCAGGGCTTGTTTGTGGTGAAAAACCTCAGCTATTGTCCCAGCTCCTCCAGGGACTGGCAAGTGCTCCAGCAGGCTTGTAAGATAAAGCCTCCCAAATCTCTGGCACATGGATGCGCTCACAGGACAGCTCTAAGCTGATAATTAAGGCCAGGGCTGGGTAATTCAAGCCAGAGTGGCACAAAGCCCTGCTTGAATTTATTTATTTATTTAATTTGGAACAATTTCTTGTCTTTGGGGCCGTAACGAGCTCCCTACTGCCACAGCAGGGTGACTTTATTAATGCCCTGGTGGGATGAGAAGGGGGATGTGTTGCCTACTCCAATTAAGCAAAAACCCCAGTTGGGTAAGTGAGCTCCTGGGTCATCACCCAGCTCCAGGAGCTGAGCCCAGCCCCTGGGGTGCAGCTTTGCAGCACTCAGCCCCAGCAGGCTCCCTCTATTCCTGCCACTTTACAGGAAAGAGCAAATTTTAGTCATCAGTACACCTGAAAAATGCTCAATACACCTTAAAAAAAGCTTGACACACAGAAGTGCAGGGAGCAGAGCCTATGAAACAGAGATGTTTCTCCACATCTGGGTCTCTAAGGACAACAAGGTGCAGGGATGCTGAGCCAGATCTCCAGGAGACATGGTCCTAATCCTATTTGGCTAGGTAATCCTTTAGTCCCCTGTGTCTGTGTTCCTCTGGGTTCATTTTCCCCCGTGTCCATTTTTGTCCTCTCTTCTCTTTTCAGACTAAGTTTTTTCACTGGATTAATCTCCACTATGGCTACAAATAGCATCTACTACAAAAGGAACCAAAACTCTCTTGGGACCATGGGCTTGCACCTAGATACAAATCCTGACTCTGCCAGATTGTGGCTTCTTTTGTATTTCTCACTCCCTTAAGCAAAAATAATAAATATATAATGCTTAACACCACAGAAAACAAGGAGCTCTTTCTGTTCCCATCAGCATCATCCACAGGTTTTTCATTTTCAGGGATGTAGGATGTCAGTAGCTGGGATGCTTTGCTGGGGACCTGGGTGAGGAGGGGACCAGGGTGATTGACTCCCATATTTTTAATCATTTACTACATATTTTTACCATTTTTTTTCCTCCAAGTTTATTATTTACTCCATATTTTTCATCAAACAGCCCCATTTACACAGACACACTCCAAGCAGTGTGCATGATGACACAAGCCTGTCATTAATTACCAGCTAATTAGGATGCCCTGGAGCAGGTTGTCTCCTGCTCCCAAACAGCCCCATGCTGGCTGTTGGAAAGATGGATGGCTCAGGTTCTCCAACCCTTTCCTGCTCCATGAGCACTACTCTGCTGCTCTGCTCTGCAACTGGGATGCAGTGGGGGAAGGAAAGTGCAAAAGGGGAGAACATCTCTGCATGAGCATGAAGAAAGCTGGTAAGACACCCATGCATGGGGGAAATGCTGGGGAGGCTGGAGACAACCGAGGATTTTGGGGGCTGTGGCTGGCTGTAGAAGGCTTTGACCCCCCCAGCTCCCTCCTGGCCAAGAGTTTTAAGCACTTTCCTTGGTGTTGGTGGATTTGTTCCTTCTGTCACTGCAGATGTGCAGCAGGCAGCTCCCAGCAGCTCCCACGCCTGCACAGCGTGGCCAGAAGCATGGTGGGGACAGCCCCTTCCCACCCTGCTGGGTGAGTGGCCCCGGGGAGGGGCCAGCAGCCCCCGGGGGTGTGGCAAGCTGACTCACCAGGCCTGTGGCTTCCTCTTCATGATGCCCTGACGTCTCCACTGCGAGTGGGGGCTCAGGTGGTAGGTGAGCTGCCGGCAGAGCTTCTCCATGGCCCCGAGGGAGTCCCCCTCCTGCAAAGACAAGGGGAGGACCCCAGATAAAGTGTCTGCCCTGTTGCCACCACACCCACAGGATGCTCTGACCCCCAGAGCTGGCAAGACATAAGGGACCATGCTAAAAATTGTGCAAGAAAGGGGGAAAAAGAAACCCCACTGACTGCTGAGGATGGGGCTCTTCACCAAGGGCCACCCTGTCCTGCACACCCCTGCACATTGCTGCTGGAGAACAGAGGTGCACAAGTCCTGCCTGGTTAACTCCCCTAGGATGAGGTCCTCTTGGCAGGGTTGTCTCTTTGCAATTTATGCAGCAGCAGCATTATCATTTGACTCATCTAAGAGCTTTCAGCACTGAAGTTTTACAGAGATTGATTAAATAACCCAAACTACCCATCTAGTACTGTCAGAACTGCTTCACAACAAAGCAAACACTAAGAAGCCTTGTGAGCTGGTGGAGATCTTGGTAACAATGCTCATCAGAAACTCAAAGCATGTATTTGTTAGGGGGAAAAAAAAAACCTTCAAGGAAAACAGGGATTTTGATGGAGTCTTCTCAGTTATGATTAAAATCTCCACCCATAAGGGTAGTGGCTTGGGAAGCTTTGACTGTTTCTAAGAATTCAGTTATAGACATTCTGGTTCATAAAAATAAAATACAAATAACAGTGCCTGAACTGTTCAATCATTTGTTCTTGTTTCATTTCAAAATCTGCATATACTAAGGCATGATGTGACATCCAATAATGTAAATCACTCATCTTGCCCTGCCTGGCTTGCTCTCTGAAAGGTCACAAGTAGAGATTAACCTGACTTAGAGAATAATAATTAAAAAAAATAACTCAAGATGTGACAATTTGCAGCATCTGGCAGCTTTAATGGAATTGCTGCATGATGGAACAACTCAGAAAAGACACAGAAACCAACTAGGAAGCCCTAAAATAAGCAATCAGCCTGGGCTTGGCTCACCACTGCTCCTTGTGCACACTGATTGCTCAGGGTTTTGCTGTGATGAGCTGGGCAAGGTGTTGAGGAAGATGCTGAGGAAGATGCTGCATCTTCTCTGCCTGGACACCCAGTTATTGCTGCCTTCACATCCTCCCTTTGAGCCTGAGCTCCACGGCAGAGCTGCACATCTCACAGCCTGGCTTAGGTAATGTAGCCTCCCACCTCACCTCCAAGGCAGCAGAGCAGGCTTATAAAGACATTATAAATATTGAATAAACCAAGGAGCAACAGGGATTTGGACAAATCACCTTTGGGTGTGCAGGGAAACAATTACAGCAGGTTTCCTCAGGGTGAAAACCAAAAAAACCCCACAAAACCAGGACAGAATGGGCAATTCTGCAGATAGCTGGAGCAGAAATATCACTGCAGGACTCATGGTCTTCAGTTTCTCTGCTCTGCAAGATATGAAGCCTTGGCAGAAACAGGGCTTTATGCCCAGTTTATTCTCCAGGTGCCTGTGAGGTGACCACCATTCTGAAAGCCACCACGCCAGCACTGGCTGGAATTTTGACACTAACCCTGGGTTTTTTTGCCTTTGCATAATACCCACAGCAAGCTCCCTGGTGCCATCAGCTTCCCATCAGCTTTCATGGAATCCATTTTTATTTCAGCTGTTACCCTTGCAAAGCATTGCAACAACTCCTGAACTATCAGTGCCCACCCTCAGCACTGCATGGGGTGGAAGAACTCTTGCTGAAATGGAATCAAGGTGCTAAAGTGCTCTGGAGTAAGTCGTGTTGCAATTCAGTGCTGCAAATTGCCTCCAATATAATCCTGAAAAGGACAATTAATTGTCTCCAGTGTTACCTTGACCACTAAACTGTTGGGCAAGTGAGATGATTCTACGTAGCAAAAAGTTGAGAAAAGAAAAGAAACAAGTTTTTGCTGGTACAAACGTGGCAGGACCATCTCCTCCCTCTGATAGGAGATTTTTAAGCCAGGCAGTGTGCTCCTGCCAGCCCCTGGTGTCCAGCTACCTGGTCTCCTGAGCAGTGTGGCCAGATGGCTGCTGGAAGCTCAGACCTGAACTTCACATCAAGCCAGTTTCTGAGAAATTCAGCCCAAAGAAATCCTCTCAGCAGAACCCAGCACATCATCTGTCAACACCAATACAGCACAGGGAGGGCTCCCAGGAAAGATGCTAGAGCAGGGCAAAGCATATTTTAATCCTTATCTCTTTGCACTGATGGCCACAGCCAGCTCATCCTTCACTTGGCCATCCCCATCTGGCCACTCTTTCAGCCCTTTTTTCTTCATAAGCAAGTTCAACTCACAAGCTCTGCAAGTACCGGGCTAGTTCCATTTTGGGGTTTTAAAACATGATTTAGAGAAGGTGATTTCTGCCCACAGCAACTCATGCATCGACTTCTGCTCTTGGTTCTGTGTGAGGGTACAAGCCAGCCACAGCAGTCAGGTCTTTTCCACACTGCTCTGTAGTGGTCTGTAGATAAATGCCTGAGTTTAGCACTGGGATAAATAACCAGCCCATTTCAGAGCTTTCCTAAGACACACCACACTGGGGTCAGGCTCCTTGCTTCTGCACAGCTCATTCCCACCTCTGCACTTCACCTGCCCATGGGTGAGACAAATCTCTGTGCTTCAAAAACCCCCTTTTCTTAGGTACCTTCCTAAACCTCTTCAGTTTCTCCCAAGAGCTTTGCAGGCAGCTCCAGGGAGAATGAGAGCTGCCCTGGGTTGCAGAAAATACACAGAGAAAGACATTTAGCTGATGTGGTGCCAAAGGACACTCGGCTTATGGTCTAAACAAAAGCTTTTTCTCTGTTTATGATTCAAGTCTACCAGGAAATAATTGAAGCTGATGCACACCCTGGTGGGACTGAGCCCAAGGGTTTGTTTGAAAACTGAGTCAGCTTAAAAACCAGCCCAGCTCGCTGGTGTTGACAGCTTTAACCTTGCTGCCCAGTGAAGGGAGAGCACCACGTGTGGGGCTGCCAGGAGAGCCAGGGCTTGCTGCAGGAGGAGAAGCCACAGAGCCCATCAGGTGGGCAGATGCTGCTGCTCCTCTCCCTTGCTGCTTCCAGGAACTCCTCAAAAGCAGCAGCCAAAAGGTCTTTCTACTCCACCTGCATCAGTATCACCTCACTTATGGGAGGTCAGTATAAGGCTGGGGTTTTTTTTTGTGGTCAGAGGGCTCCTGAGTGGCAAAGCAGAGTCAGCTCAACCTGCAGAAACTGCCACCCACAGGGCTGGGCTTTGGCAAACCCAACGTGCCCTTCCTAGAAGGAACAATAATCAAGCACAAGACACATCCAAGGAGAGCTGCCATTTTCACCAAGCATATTATCTTACCACCACAACCAAATCACAGCTGAAACAATGCATCAGGCTGAACCTCTGCCAAGGCATCCCCAGTGCCACCAGGGAAGTCTTGGCCCCTCCTCACTTCGGGCATTCAGAGGGCATGTGAGTGGGAATGTGCCTTTGTTACTCTGCTTCCCAAGCCCTGGGGGGAAAACTCCAGAGCATCTCAGGGCTGGGGAGATGGGACAGACCACACAGAGAGTTCAGCTTTCCCAGCTGCTGCTGCTGCTGCCAGGAAAAAGCCTGTTTCACAGAGCTGGGATATGCCCTTTCTCTTGGCACTACGCTCCCAGGCCAGCTGATAAATGCTGGTAAGATGCTGCTGACAAGCCCTCAGCTGAGTTCCCTACAGATGCAGCAGCTGCACATCTGGAAACATCTGCAAGTTGGCAAGCACTCTCAGTGCCATGATCTTGCCCACGCCTGTACAGCTCCTTCATCAATGGGGAGAGAAATCTGTGCCTTGCACTCAGCAGAACTGCTTTGAGCAGCACCCAAACTGGGGTCAAAGCCTCTCTGCAAGGGCAAGGCAGCTACAGGGCACCCTCCTTCCTCTTCAGTCACCTTGTCTGCCCAGCTGGAAAGCTCTGAGGAGAAGATGTGCCTCACAGAGCACTTTTACTCAGCACAACCCACAGAGCTCCCAGGGATCAAGCCCAGCTGGTGCAAGCATCAGCCCAGCCAAGCAGTATTTGGGCAATGTCTTGGCTTCTACCTGACCAGGTCCTCTCCAAGCTGGGAGAGACCCAGTGCAGCTCCTGGCCATCAGACACAATGCCAAGTGCCTGGTGGAGGAGGGATGAGGGGGAAGCTGAGAGCAGAGGCTCTTCCCTGCAAAGGGCCCCTTTTCCCTGTTGCTGCTCCTCTGTCTTTGCCTGCCTCGAGGCCTCTGGAGAAGGAGAGGGCTGCTTGCTGGCAGGAGGAGTCCAGAAATTCATGAGATTTTAATCCCTTAATAGATTTCAGCTGGGAGAGGGATTCATGGCACATGCCACATCTGTGATCCACAACCAGCCCTGTGCCAGCAGGATCTTCTTCAACTGGAAAACGAGGGGGAGCTGCAGGAGCTGAGCCCTGTCTGCCCCAGAGGGTGCTCCAAAAGAAGCAGCCAGAGAGCTCGGAGCAGGGCACAAAGCATAGGAGAGCCTTGTGATAAAGATGTTATTGCAAATTGATTTGTTTTCATTAAGAAATTAATCACCGGCTCCTCCTCCTCCTCCTCTCCAGCAGAATCCCTGGTGGTGTGCAGAGCCTTTGGGGGGGTTGCACTGGGGCCAGACATCCTGTAAAATAGGCCAACGTTAATGACTAAAGAGCCCTGGTGAAGAAT